CTCCTTTGTGTCCCAGAACATACACGTATCCTTATACATTGGCGGCATCCTTTGTCGGCTCCTTTGTGTCCCAGAACATACATTGCTTATCTACTGCATTTGATGTACCTTTGAAACCTCCCGCGGTTTGTGTGCCAGTGGCCGCGTTTTAAAGCGAGATCTCTTTGAATGGCAGACCTCGCAAGTGCCAACTGCTCCGCCTCAACGGGGTGACGCGGTGAACACCCAGAAGGGTGGCCAAAAGGCGGCTCTGGCTAAGCTTGCCAAGCAATAAAGGCCGTGGATGGCGACCACGATAAAAAGCTAACTTGAACGCGATGAGCCCCGTTTTGACCTAACGTCAGAGTTTTGAAAGATCTGACTTTGGGACGGAACGGGGTAAAAACAACCTTTCGAATGACGGATACCCACCAGCGTGAACGGGTTGGACCGAAACGCAATGGGGAGACATGCCCCGGCACGTCGAAGCGATGGACCTGTGAGTCGTGGGAGAAATCCCTTAATATAGGAACGCAGGGTGGGATGTATTTTGAACGCGAGCCCAGGAGGGGGGCTTAGTTGGTTGATCGTCTAAGGAATCTTCCTCTGGCTGTCCTGGCTGAGTCTCTCCTCTGACATCCCAATTTGGGTTGGCCTCTGCGGGGTAGTGGTACCAGGTCAAGCAAATCTCGTAAGATTTGTATGCTGCGTGCTTCCGACGCGGTAGACGTTGGGGCAACTAGAGTCCCGTCGCCCCCAAACCGAGGGTCAAGCCTTTAGTTCCGCTCTCCTTGAGCGTCGAACCGTGAAAAGATCGGTACTCCTCCCGAGGAGGTCGCCGCCTTAGATTAAAAAGGTTCCGACTCGCTGAGTCGCGCCAGGGATGTCGTAGCAAACTTGACTTCCGGATCCCCAATATATTTGAAAGCGAAGGGGTGAAAGACAGTGGGCTATGCCAACCTATTGGCGCCCAGAGAGAGGGGTGGTAATGTTTGATTACGCCGCGCCACCCTCAAAGCGGAAAAGTGTGGACGACACACATACACTAACTGTGTGCCAGTGGGCCCCTTCGACAGAGTAAGACCCCACGCTGAGTGTCTAAAACGCATTTGATGTACTCGTACCTTTGACACCTTTCGCTGAGTATCTAAAAGGTAATCGATGTACCTTTTGCAATGATGATGCGTCGCCAATGCATAAGGTATATGTGTATGTCCTGAGAGAGAGTGCCCACCCCCGCCACCATCACCACCACCACCCACCCACTTACTGAGGTTGTTAAGGTAGGATGCTGTAGAAGTTGGTAGGATGTTTGGTAAGCTATATGATGGTCTCTCTCATTCTCCTTCGATAGTAGGACGCTTAGTAAGCTTATGCTGGATGAGTTTGGGCCCTCGGAGAGGGGGTAGCGTCTCTAGCTTACTAGGCGCGTACGCCGTCTAGTGTGGATGCTGTTCTCTCTCTCCCTCTCTCTCTCTATATGTCTCTTTCTCTCTCTCTCTCTCTCTATATCTCTCTTTCTCTCTCTCTCTCTCTCTCTCTATCTCTCTTTCTCTCTCTCTCTACCTCGCTCTCCTTCGATAGTAGGGCGCATGGGTCCTTGGAGAGAGGGTAGCATATAGCTTGGTAAGCTACATGCTGCTCTCTCTCTCTCTCTCTCTCTCTCTCTCTCTCTCTCTCTAAGCAAGCGCTGTAGTAGTTTCATTAGATTTCGGGAACCTTTTGACCTCACAGTTAATTCTATTTGAATATTAATTAATAAAACTTATAGAATTTTCGTTTAATTATTAATTTATTGTTCATTCAACTATACATTAAATATGATACAGTCTGTCTATAATCTTTATTTTCAGTAGTTGACATCGCTATATTGAAATATAGAGTTGAATATTTATATGTAATATTATCAACTTCATCAATATCTTCTATTTCAGATTTTTTCCGTCTAACTTTTATCCATCAAAACAATCTTTGTGCATCTGTAACGGCGCATACAAAGTTAACTGGTTTATTGTAATAATATGTGCATATTGCTTCTAATGGGTAAGGTAATGCGCTCATTGGTGGATATCTCATCTCGCTTTCAAGTTCTAAAATTTTTCTAAAAAAGGAAAAAGTTTCTAATTAATAATGATTTTATTTTCTAACAAAAAATAAAAATAATTTTTATACTTACTTTTCGGGTAATATTTTTTGTAACCATTGTTTCTTTTTTAATCCTTTTACATAAATATTTCTAGAATTATCGTTTAGTTTATGATTATTTAGTACACGTACTAAATTTTTATATGGAATAATGCCGGATCTCTATAATAAACCATGATAACACGTTTCTGAGAAATGATTCACTTTTCGACACTTGAAAGGAAGTTGAAACCAATATGGTGGTTCGAAGAAAAATACAGTTGGAACAGTATCTACATCTAATAGTAAATATGCGAGTTCTTTACAAACAAAAGACTCGTTTAAACTTTGAAAGCCTTGAAAATCTATTACGAAATCCATTTGAAAAGATGCTGAAGTTAATATGAACTCTACTAGTTCCCAAAACCGTTATGAGAGTAGAGGCACGTGTTTGTTCTATATAAAGCCTATACCTCACTATTCGAAAGTAGAGGGCGTCATAGTCACCATACCTCACCATTCGAAAGTATAGGGCGTCATTCGCTATGGGATTACCTTGTGTCGCCCTCTGATGATTCAAACTAGCGTAACAGTTGGCTAAAATCAACTAAATTTGTGTATGTGATATACATAGTCTTAATAAACAGCAATGATTCGGATTAATTAAAAAATAGTATTCCTTTAAAGAGTTAATATTCCAATACGTAGATGCATGGTGGCTTATAATTGATAAAATTGACGGTAAGCAAGCATAAAAAAAGAGTTCTATTGCATGTTTAGAATCACTTTTGAAGTTAAGATTGAAATGATTATTGTAAAAATTACTAGTTGATGATTATTTAGAACCATGTCCGAATTACAAGAAAAAACTTTTAAAAAATCAATAATCATTTCGTGTACATGTGTATTAGTGAGTAACTAAATTCATATATTTGCAGGTTAATACATCTCATCAAAGTAATAAGATTATATAGGTTGACGCAATGAAAATTATTTTAAAAACGGAATTTGAGAAAGTAATTCATAATATTGAATTTCACCCTGAAGGAGAACCGAAAGGTGAAAAATTAGTACAATCTGGCCACGTCAGGGATATTCAAGAAACTAGAGAAGATGGAAAAAGCTGTTTAATAGAGGCACGAGTAATACGACAAACATCTGTGCTAAAGCCACCCTACTCCACAAAACTATTTGTACTATTTATATTTTATTTTATTGGTCATATTGGTATTCAAGACAATAATGGATATATTTGTTTTACACAGATAAGTGACCATCGTCAAGTTTTAGATTGTTCGTGTGACTGCTGCTACAATAAAAGTAAGAAATGCAAGCACATTGCAGCACTGATTTACGCAATAAATCATGAAGACAGCAGAACAAAGACTGATTATGAGCAACAGTGGGGTGCACCAACGGCTCAGCAGTTTGCAAAAAAAAAATATTCAAAGGGAAGATTCTTCGATGAGATGTTTCCACCTGATGATAGATACTCGCATGTGCAGCCCTATGGGATGGAAGTTTCAGAATTAGAAGATGGCTCATCGTTGAAAACACTGTTATTATCAAAAGCAAAGAGAAAACAATCTAATTTTAATGTTGATGACAACGAGATCCGTGATTTAATGGATTGCATTTTAACTAATGTTGATCAAATCGTCGAGAAAGAAGACTGTAAAGGAATGTTGGAAAATTTATTTTCAATTTGGAGTGATTATGGAATTGAAGGTGCTAATGAAATGCCAGTGAAAGAGCAACAAGAATTTTATCAAAAGACAATCGTTTTAACCAAAGAGGAAATAATTGAATTGTGTTATATAACAATGAAACAGTCTGATAGCCCTGAATGGTTTCAAGCTCGCAGGCTGAGAGTTTCGGCTAGCAAAAGTGCCCATAATATCAAATGTCGCCAGCTTAAGTCAATTGAAAAACTTGTTAATGAAATGTTATACCCTCAAAGTATAAGTAATACTGCTACTAAGTATGGTAAAAAAATGGAATCTACTGCTCGACTACAGTATGAACAAGAATATGATGTAAGTGTTAAACAAGTAGGAGTTATTGTTTGTCATAAGAATCCTTGGCTGTGTGCAAGTCTAGATGGAATTGTAGTGAAAGACTCACGTCCAGACAGAATAGTGGAAATCAAATGTCCATTGAGTTGTAAGGATTTACCAATTATTGATTATAATGCAAAAAAGTGCAATGTGCCATATCTCAAGTTAGAAAATAACAATGTACATTTGAAAACCAGTGCAATGATTTACACGCAGTGCCAAATCCAAATGTATGTTAAAACATACTGGTATGACTAAATGTCATTTATATGTATATTTTCCTGTTCAGAGTTGCACTATTTTAGTTCTTCGTGATAATTCATTTTTACAAAAAGTGCTACTCAAGTGTGAAACGTTATATTTTAAAAATTATTTACCTGCTTTGCATAAATTAATGAAACCTTCAGTAGTATTGAATGTTAAAAATCGAGCATTTACTGGTAAAGACATTAGTAATATTACTTAACTTTAATTTAACATTCATTGTGATGAGGTAACGAAAACCAAAAAATATGTTATAAGATAGCTCAAATAACCGTGAAACTAAGTTAAATTCTATTATAATCTTGCAAATATTTGTTTTAAATTACAGAGTGCTAATTTATGATTGAAATATAAAGAGATGTTACGTTTTATATAAATTAAATAAAAAAATTTTCAACATATTTTTATACTTTATTGCAAACCTTAAAATTTTTTTGTACATTGCTATATTGTACAATTTATTATTTTTTTAAAAGTAATTAATAATATTTAATAATAATAATTAATCAGTTCAAATCGAGTCCATTCAGTATTTACAATTTTTACTGCTTATGATTAATGATACAAGTCTTACAATTATGTGTTTTCCATAGAATCGTCTTTCATGATTGATGGTTGTAAATTCACCAAAACGCAAATAACGTGCACTATATCATCTATATATTTGAATAAATTGTGAGTTATTTTATTTAAAATTTGATAAGTTCGAATCCTTTGCATTATTCTTTCAACGTGAATACGGCACTTAGCAACAGTGTACGTCTCTGTAGTTTCTTCTTCACTAAATTCTGTCTTTTTTTCTAAAAAAGGCGGCATCACCACTAAAATTGAAGATCCACGCTCATCTATGACACTTTGAATTTGAGGAAAGCCTTCGTCAGCTAGCACTACATCTCCTTCTTCTAGCAGATCAATTAAATGTGATTCTACAGTGATTTGTGAATCACTCTTTCTGCCACCAGCTACTCTTGACTTAAAACTGATGAATCCTCCTGGGGTTATTCCAACAAGTAGTTTGCCTGTGAAAGCTTTTTTATAATGTGAATAAGTGAAAACACGATCATCTACACGAGGTGCAGTTTCAACTCGAAATTCTGTGCAGTCTATAATAACTCTAGTTTGGCCGTAATCTGTACGAAAACATTGTGGCATGGTGTTTTGCACATCAACTCTATCTGGCCAAAACACAGCATCTGCAGTTGACCTGGCTAAATACCGCACAGTAGAAAAGAAAATTTTTGAAATAGTCGTTCTATCCTTACAGAACAAAACACTCATTGCTGAAAAAGTCAAGCCTATCTTTAGTTTAACTAATGTCATAAACAATCTATCTTCTTTAGAAATGGGCCTGTTGCTCGCTTTAGGTACTTTTAATCTTTTTAATAAAAAATTGAAAGTTGCAAATGTCACACCAGCAAGATCTAAAAGCTGTTGTTTTTTTTTAATAGACTCAAACCCAGAGAAATATTTTGATTTAACCTCTTCACTTTCAATACTAGGTCCAATACATTTGTCTTCAAAAGTTTTGATTTTTGTGTTACATTCAAAATCCTTGAACTTCTTACGATTAGTAATTTTAACAGGGCCACAAATTTCAACTATATCTGTTTGTATTTCAGCCTCGCAAGTTATTGTGGATGATTGTGACGATGATTGCACATATGTAAATCTGTTGCATATAAATAACTTTGATGGTTCTTTGGAATCTATGAGTCGATAAGCTTCACATTCTTGATCACAAAATTTCTTTTCTACAACTTGTTCTATTTCTACACCACTATTTGATAGCTTTTCATTAATTTGATCCGTGTCCATATCCAAATTTGATACTTCTTTCTTCGTAGCCTGTTTTGTACATTTTCGAGAAGGATTTTTATGTAATTCTAACATCCTTTTTTTAATAATACGATTCGTATACCGCTTGTTTCTGAAATAAAATGTCAACTTTTCAACTGTAATCAAATGATTGAAATATATATATATATATACACACACACACACACACACACACATACCTGTTGATAGCAGTTGGTTGATTTATAATGGTTGATTTATATGTAGAGGTAAATATTGTTGGAATGTAGCTTGGGCTTAATTCCTCTTCTGCCTTTGCATTATTAATAAAATAGGCATTACATATTGCATCTCCATTTCTTGGGGTCCAAGATGATCCGCTAGAATTTGAAATAATAGTTGTCAATGAGATTTACTACAACGATAGCTGACGAAAGTAAGCGTCTGTGGTCTGCTTTCAAAGTAGGGTTATGTCACTTACTTTATTTTTCTCACCGCATCAATCCATTGCTCTGTTTGACTAACTTTATGCACTGACTTTGGAAACTTATAAAATTTGTATGGACCATATCTACCGTTATTATGACCATTATAAACACAACAAGTGTAATGGCTCATTTTGTTTATATCTTACAATGCAATTTTCAACGTTAAAGTATAGCCAACTCTGTTGTATCTTTTAGCCACCCGGCGCGCTATGCTAGTTTGATGTCCCCCTCCCTTTGTCGTCCCATAGCGAATAGTCACTATATAGTATGATTATAGGTAGTTTTTATTAAATTCCAACAATATATATATTTTATTTTCTTTTTTATTGAAAAGCATTTATTAAATAATGTCTTGTTAATTTCAAACTAATTTTTTAACATCACCACTAATTGGATCTCGTATTGTACAATACGATCGTGTAATATTAAGCAGTAGGCTGCAGTATCTTCAGGAAAATCAGTCCGAGTTTCAAATTCTAGGCGAACATCAACTGGCGCGCTTTTTAATGTTTCATTTTGTTTGGAGCAGTCTATAACTATGATCGGCACTTTATTAATGAAATCTTTTTTATTGAGTAACGGCTCGTCTTCTTTACCATAATAAGCGTTTTGAAAATTAGTATACATATCGTAGAGAACAGCATACTGATTTTGATTGATATTCAAATTGAGATTTCCATACGGATAGCATTGTGAATTGAGGAATAGCTTCACATTACTAATATTACAATGATCAAAATTACTAGAATTAACACTCGCCGAACTTTTACGTTTAGTTTGATAAGCTAAAATAACAAAGCGAGGCTTTTCCAATTGATTGGAAGTCTTAACACTCCAAACATGCTTTGATGTACGTGGTAATTTTGGAAACTCGTATAACTTCCATGTGCGATAACTCATAGTGATCGCTCTATCACGACTAATTTGATTAAGTAATTTGATTTTTTCTCTATCAGCTGCTACTACATATGGCATTAACTATTAAATTTTATTTAGAGTAATTTTAATTTTTTCATAAGTAATTATTTCATTTGTATTGGTAGGTGTAGTTATGGTAGCATTCAAATCATTTCTCGATATTGTAACAATAAGTTCATGTTTAACATTTACTATAATTTTTCGATAATCTTCAGCAAATACAAGCAGCATACTGAGAGGTATAGTAACATCGAAATAACCTTCGTCATTTGTAAGTGATACTTCTTTGTCACTAGACCAACCAGCATTTTCAGCTATTAAACTTTGACTCGGATTGAGTGATAGCCAATTCTTCATAAGACTTGTCAAGCCAACATTTTTTACTTTATCTATTTCAATAGCATTTATCTCGTATTGTATTTCTTCGAATAAATGCCATTAGCATTATTAACTAACTTAGTTTTAACTGCTACATTTCCATTTTCCTGAGGTAATCTACCGCAAACATGAATCATACTACGAGATAGAAGTATGGATAAATCTTGATGCTGAATTAAGATACGAATTCCATCATTGTTATTGAAATATGATAATGAATAAGGCTGATGCGCATGAACTTCATAATGAACTATAGACTCATCGAAAGCGACAGCTGAAAGAATGTCTAGAATTCCCTCCATATTGTTATTGTTGTTGTTTTATACAGCACACTAATATGCACAATATTTTCTTCCACGATTTTCGACGACTTCTACTCTCTAGCTCTTCAGGAATTAAATGTTCTGAGGTATGAGCGGTCTGATACTCGCTGTTAACTGGTTGCTGATTGATATTTTTGTCTTTTAATATAGCCTCGACCGCTCTTTATATTGTAAATAAAATCCATTACTAAGATATGGTCTTTATATGTACTCGCACTGTGATGACTTCTCCTCGAAAGTTAACGAGGTTTCCGTCTTGATCAACTATACGAATTTGAAAATGATCAATGCTCCTCACAGTGATTTGAAGGTAAATGACGTGAGAGAGAACTTCTATAATCTTATATCCAGATGGGACTGCTGGGAAAAATTCATATATAGTATGTACTTTGCAAACGTTTATGCAATAGCCCTTAGTAATATTACACTCTACATGTAAAGCGTTGACATTGAATATAGTGACGGGTAAGTCAGAACTATGTGTTTCGATTTCAACGAGCGTGCGTTTAGTGAAGCCTAAAATTTATCCAATAGAATCTTTTGGTTGAAAATGTATTTTTTGACTGCAGTGAATGACACTACGTAAAGTATTATTATTTAGTTTCAGGCTAAACGATATACCTTTATGTGCTAATGTTTTTTTGAGAAAGCTTTCAATATCTTCTATTTCGTAGCTTCCACTCGGTAAAGTGATAGCTTCTTCACCTTCAATGTAAAATTTATTATAATCAACGTCAATGTTTGGTATTTAATTAAATGTTAATAGCTTAACTAGACCAAGAACATATTTTTTGTTTGGTATCAATTCGATCGGTGGAAAATAATATGTTTCGAGTACGAATGATGTTGCCGAGAGGCTCAATGTCAGTGTATTCTTCATGACAGATTCATATCAAATGATAGTCATTCGTTGAATGAGTATTTTTAATACTAGTTGTCTTTTCTATAGTTTGTTTAAAAGAAATTTGAGACAAAGATGGCCGCAATTGTATGTATTAAAATCTTGATATCTAATATAATTATACATGATTCTAATAACCTGTTAACCGAGCGGGACGTATAAATACGTCAGAAGTAAACAATATCGGGTACGGGTAGGACATATGAATACGTCCTCGATATTTATATTGCGCCATGGAACGGGCGGGACATATATTTTACTACTACTATGGTAATACGTCATTCATATACGTCTTAGTGGAATAGGACGCGCCCGTTATATGTTGCGTAATTCGAAAGGGAATTCCCCCGGTCAACAGGTTAACTTTGAGATAAAGCAATAGATTTATAGGCGGCTGCAGATTACCAAAACTATCAAAATACACAACCTCATCACCTTTCTATTTATACGGCTATTCGGATATATGCAAATGCTATGTTATCGTGACGTCACGGAAAGCTTTATCGCGCTCTTTCTCGGTCAGTTTTTGATTGATTAAATAAACAAAAAATACGTGTCTTTTAATTTTGTAAAATCTACAAGACGGATATAATGGAATTTTTTCGTTTTTTTACATAATTATGCAAATGATCGAAGTAATATTATTAATAAAGGAGAAAATAATTTATAGGAGTGGCGTATACGTGAACTAAAGCAATGGCTGTTAACTCTTATGCGATAGTGTTAATTAGTTTTCTATATAAACAAAAGTATAGTGATATATCTACGTTACCCATTTATATTATATAGAAGTAACATCTGTATATGTATAATATAAAAGCTATAATTTATGAAGTTGCTTATTAAATTGATTTGTTTATTAAATCATTAATATTAACGCGTGTATTATGTTAAAGCACGCAGATTAACAGAAGAATACTCGATTTGCAAGGTATCAATTCTAGTAATTATCGAAACGCTATTGACTATAAAAAGACGTGTGATCTTTAAAATATTAACGTCAATGTCAGATGCTTTCTACGTTCGAAATTTAAAGTAAAAATACGTGTACCAATGTGTTCTCTGGACATAAAATCAACTCTGAAGTTTAAGTATGATTTATTATTGCTCTAAAGTGGTAAGAAAATCTTTTCTAAAAGCATTCCTGACTAAATAAGGTTTGATGAAAATACATTCATGTAAAAGACGCCTAAAAGTTTATTTTATAAACATTAATATATTTAACATCATTTTCTTTCCGAAAGTAGAATAGTTAATAGACGGTTATATTACACTTAACGCAACGAGAATACGAAACTTTAGTGAATCACGGCTCCAACTTGAAAAAACAAACATATACTCGTACGAATATATACTTAGAGAGCTCGTATTTTTAAGAGTAATAATTACAAGTTTTTGTCGATTATTTGAGGACGAGTAAACGTTCGATTTGTATTAGGAAACATTTTCTAAATAATATATATACACAAATACTTATTAGTAGTCTTTTTTTAAACGTTGCCTTTTATCAAGCCACTTGTGAAGAAATAAAGTAGGCAATGCAATGCACTCTATCATTATTTTTGGCAAATAAAATTTTATTTTTATCGTGAAAATATATATTTAAAAAAGAAAGCAAATTCTAAGTGTGGATGAAGGAACTGAGCAGAAAATTGATGAAAATTGACGTAGAAAAATTATTTAAAAACTGCACATGATTGTGAAAGACCAATAAAACTTATTAACAATTACGCGCATTTTAGTTTTTGTTCATAAAAAAAAATTTTTAAAATTGAACATTCCGAGATCAGTAGAAACTGAATCTATGTAGCATGTTGATTCAATTTTTATCGATATAAATGGGCTTAATAGTTAGGAAAATCCCGCGCACTCTTCTATTCAATCAAAATATTATAACCGTTCAAGAAATAAATATTATTTCTCATTACAATTATGTACCTGAAAAAGATCAGTCGGTAGTATACGAGGGTGGTCCGATAAGTACTTAGCCTACAAAAGGAAAACGAAAATTTTGGAAAATAGCGTTTTATTTTTTAACATATTCTCCTTTTAGTTCGATACACTTGGCCCAGCGATGCTCCAACTTCTTTAACCCGTCTGAAAAATACGTTTCCTTGAGGTCTGAAAAGTAGGCTTCCATGGCAGCGATTACCTCCTCATTCGACTCAAATTTCTACCCGGCGAGTGACTTTTTCAAGTTTGGAAACAAAAAGAAGTCGCACGGGGCTAAATCTGGAGAATACGGTGGATGGGGCAGCAGTTCGTAGCCTAATTAGACCAATTTGGCCATGGCGACGGCGGAGGGGTGAGCCGGTTCGTTGTAATGGTAGAAGAGCACTTTTTTCGTACCTTCGAATCGTCGATCTGTCAATACGTGAATTTTTGTCACGTTATCCTCCGTGGTAGCCGTTTTCGGAGCACCAGGACGTGGCTCTTCAAAAATAGACGTGCGACCACGTTGAAACTCGTGAAACCAATTTTTAACGGTCGCCATCGAAGGAGAAGAGTCACTGTACACAGCATCCAAGTGCTTTTTGATTTCGCTACGCGATTTACCTTCCAAAATCAAGAATCGAATCACCGACCGATACTGCTCTTTTTCTATTTTTC